TATGTCTGAATATTCCTCCTGTAGAGGGACATGCCCGACTTAACCCTAAAATGTTCGGAAAACGACACAGCCTGAGCTAGAACTGCTCTAAGAAGAAGCCCGTGCAGACCACAAACGCTTCTTGGAATATTCTTCAGTGGGCCTATAGGCAAGCCAGGACGCTTCGCCACAGTGCCACGCAGAGAGGGGGCCGAGTCATGCGCGGCGGCCGCGCGACCCAGAGTCCGACTCTCTCACCGTGGCTGCCCGCACATCGCGTACGCGCGGGGACGTGGTGCGCAACCGGACAGTCGGCGGCGAGCGAGGAGGGGAACGAGGTTCGAACTTCGAGGTTCGAGGTTTTCGGGCGCTTTCTTTGGTTCTCGGCTGTTTTCCAGCCTCTGGATGCTTGCCGGCCAGAAGCTGCGCCTCGCCGAGGGCGTTCCGGGGTTGCCCGGAGCGTCCCGAACGGACGCGGGAGACCCGAGTTATGACCCAAAAACCACATTCGGCGGCGAGCGAGGGGGGGCGTGAGAAGAAGAAGGCTTTCTCAGAAGGCGGCGGGACTTCTCAGAAGCCCTCGCCCCTTCTGAGAAGGTGTTCTGTGTCTCCAGGGAAGGCTCAGAAGAACACTTCCCAGAGGGCCGGGGGACTTCCAAGCCTTCTGAGAAGGCCCGCTCCTCCTCACTTCCCCCCCCCCGCCGCCGAGACCAGCGCGTGCCACTAATTACTCGTGACGCAACTACTCGCAACTGGGCGGCATCCGCCGCGGGGGATCTACGATAAGACACATACAGGAAGATACCATACAATAAGATATGCAAGAGAGCCCATAATTGAATCGATGAGGATCGGAGAGGAAAGAAATCGGATCGGCGGAAATCGGCAGCCGAGTCGGTAATCGGGAAAGCTCGAATCGGCGGAAATCGGCAGGCCTGTAGGCCTCCACTGCGAAATCGGATCCCATATCGAAATCCAAAAACGGATCGAATCGGAATCGGAGTCCATCGGAATCGAAGCGAAACGAGTCCTGGACATGTGCTTTTCGGACGTTTGCGAGCAGGCACTTCGCGCGTCGTGGAACGCCGTCGGTGCTCCACGGCGGCGGCGCTCTCCCCGCGCCGTGGAAAAGGCACGCCGTCACGGCGGGAGCTCCTGGGCCGCCCTCGGCCGAGCAGGGCCCTCCCCGAGCCCCAGGGCCGACGAACACGGGCTCGGGATGAGAGAGGCCTCCCGGATGGCGGGTCGGAGCAGCTGTGGTCGGAGGATCGGGCCGCATCGCCGATGCATCAGCGACGCATTGCCTCTGCATCGGCGCTGCATCGGCGATGCATCGGCGATGCACTGGCGACGTCGGCGATGCATCGGCGACGTCGGCGTGAAGAAGAGCGGGCCCCACGTCGAGCCGCATCGGCGACGCATCGCCGATGCATCGGCGATGCGGCACGATCCTCCGACCCTACTCGGACCCCATCCGGGAGGCCTGGAGAGATGAGGAGAGAAACCAGAAAGTACTGATACCGCTACTCCCCGGACCTCTCCCGGGTGCGTTCTGACCAGAATTTCGAGGCGAATCCAGCGGTGGCGACGAGGGCCTCCCAGGAGGCCCCCAAAAAAGAAAACGGGCGAAGGGTAGACGTGTGGGTACCTTCCCAGGGATCCGACGTCGTGATTTTCCCTACCTAGGCTCTGCCTAGAAGGGTTCTTACCCTGTGTGCTTAAAGGGCCGGGCAATTGAAACGGCCCCGGGCGGTTCCCCCGGCATCCGCCCCGCGGTTCCCCCAGTTGCGCCCCCTGGGTTCACCCAGATTAGCTTAGCTTAGCTTAGCTTAGCTTAGCTTAGCCTAGCTCAGCTTAGCTTATCTCATCGTAGCTTAGCTTAGCTTAGCTTAGCTTAGCTTAGCCTTGCTAGTTTAGCTTAGCTTAGCTTAGTTTAGCTTAGCTTAGCTTGGCTTGGCTTAGCTTAGCATAGCTTAGCCTAGCTCAAGTTTGCTTAGCTTAGCTTAGATTAGCATAGCTTAGCTTACCTTAGCTTAGCTTAGCGCAGCATAGCGCAGCGCAGCATGAGCACAGCATAGCATAGCATAGCATAGCCAAGCACAGCATAGCATAACATAGCATAGCCAGGCATGGCATAGCATAGCATAGCATAGCGCATCATAGCATAACATAGCCTAGCATAGCATTGATTAGCAGAGTACAGCGCAGCATAGCATAGTATAGCATAGCGCAGCATAGCATATCATAGCATAGCCTAGCATAGCATAGCACAGCGCAGCATAGCATAGCATAGCACAGCGCAGCATAGCATAGCATAGCATAGCATAGCATAGCATAGCGCAGCATAACATAGCATGGCATAGCCTAGCATAACACAGCGCAGCCGAGCGTCATGGCATACCATAGCTGTCGGTGTAGGTGTAGATGTAGATGTTGCTTCCTAAAAAGCTCCAACTCGGTAGATGTTGTAGAGGTTGTCGGTGTAGGTAGGGTCGCACTGGGATAATTTTCAATACGCGGTCCCCCGAAGTCTCGACCCACTCCCCAGGACCGACTGTTCATCCTGAATCGTTGTTTGACGGTCCTGGGGCCCGGCCAGGGCCCCTAGAAGCCCCTCTTGTTTTGTTCCCAACCATCCTGTGGTGCCGGGTCCTCGTTTTGAAGAGACAGCGCCCCGCGTCTCCTCCTTCCTCCTCTCCCTCCTCCTCCATCCCCCTCCTCCCATCCCTTGCCTCTGCCCTCCGCATGTCCTCATGGTCCTCATCATCATCATCATCATCATCATCATCATCATCATCATCATCATCATCATCAGCATCGTCATCATCATCATCATCATCATCATCATCATCATCATCATCACCAGCATCATCCTCACCATCATCATCATCAACATCAGCAGCAGCATCGTCATCATCATCAGCATCATAATCATTATCATCATCGTCATCATCGTCATCGTCATCATCATCATCACCATCATCATCACCATCATCATCAGCATCAGCATCAGCATCAGCATCACCACCATCATCATCATCATCATCATCATCAGCATCATCATCATCATCAGCATCATCATCATCATCATCATCGTCGTCATCGTCATCGCAGTCATCATCACCATCATCGTCACACCCAGTACAGCGCTTCGTGGCCCCATAGGGAGCTCCACCGAAGGTCCCAGTGAAGTAGTTCGCATGCGTCTCCCCCACCCATTACAGAGTGTCGTAGCCCCATAGGGAGCTCAACCGAAGGTCCCCGTGGCGCAGTTTGCATGCGCTTCCCCCACCTAGTACAGCGTTTCGTGGCCCCATCGGGAGCTCCACCGATAGGGAGCTCTACCGAAGGCCCCAATGGCGCAGTTCGCATGCGTCTCCCCACCCAGTACAACGCTTCGTGGCCCCATAGGGAGCTCAACCGAAGGTCCCAGTGGCGGTGTCCACATGCGTTTGCCCCACCCACTACAGCGTTTCGTGGCCCCGTAGGAGAGCTCCACGGAAGGTCACCGTGGCGCGGGTCGCATGCGCTTCCCCCACCCAGTACAGCGTGTCGTGGCCGCATCGGGAGCTCCACCGATAGGGAGCTCCACCGAAGGTCCCAATGGCGCAGTTCGCATCGGTCTCCCCCACCCAGCACAGCGTTTCGTGGCCCCATAGGGAGCTCAACCGAAGGCCCCAGTGGCGGTGTCCACATGCGTCCCCCCCACCCAGCACAGCGCCTCGTGACTTCATAGGGAGCCCAACCGAAGGTCCCAATGGCGGTGTCCACATGCGTCCCCCACACCCAGCACAGCGCCTCGTGGCTCCATATGGAGGGGGCTCCACCTAAGGTCCCAGTGGCGGTGTCCAACTGCGTTTCCCCACCCAGCACAGCGCTTCGTGGCTCCATGAGGCGCTCGACCTAAGGTCCCAGTTGCGGTGTCCACATGCGTCTCCCCCACCAAGTACAGCCGTTCTTGGCCCCATAAGGTGCTCCAACGAAGGCCCCAGTGGCGGTGTCCACATGCACCCCCCCTCCCAGCACAGCGGTTCGTGGCTCCACGGTCCCAGTGGTGGTTTTCATATGCGTCTCCCCCACCCAGCACAGCGCTTCGTGACCACATAGGGAGCCGCACCTAAGGTCCCAGTGGCGGTGCGGTGTCCACATGTGTCTCCCCATCAGCAGCATCATCATCATCATCATCACCATCAGCATCGCCATCATCATCATCATCATCGTCATCATCATCACCATCATCATCATCATCAGCATCATCATCATCATCATCACTATCACCATCACCATCACCATCACCATCATCCTCATCATCATCATCATCACCATCACCACCATCATCATCATCATCATCATCATCAGCATCATCATTATAACCAGCATCAGCATCACCAGCATCATCACCAGCATCAGCATCACCATCATCATCACCACCATCATCACTATCATCAACATCAACATCAGCATCATCGTCATCAACAGCATCATCCGCATCATCATTAGCATCAGCATCATCATTACCCCGTCGATCGCCAACATCGTCAGCATCAGCATCACCAATTATCATCATCACCATCATAATCAGCATCATCATGAGCTTCATCATCATCATCAGCAGCAGCATCATCAGCATCATCATCAGCAGCATCATCATCCCACCTTCCTCCAACTCTTCATTCTCCCTGTCTTTGGTCCCCCCTCCCCCTCCTGTGGTCTGACGATCCCAAGATCTGGCTGTTCGCCCCTGTCGACAGAGCACGGCGACGCCATCCAGCCTTCGTTGCCGCGAACCCCACATCCATCCCATTCCTCCCCATCTTGCTCCTCCTCCTCCTCCTCCGCGTCCGTCTCGTTGTCCTCCTCCTCCTCCTCCTCCTCCGGCTCATCCTCCTGCTACTACTCCTCTTCCTCCTTCTCCTCCTCCTCGTTGTCTACCTCTTCCTCCTCATCCTGCTACCATCCTCCCACTATTTCTCATTCTCCATATCTCTTCCCACCGTTCCCCCTTTGACTGGCGACTCTCGAGACCTGGCTGCCCCTGGCGCGCGAGTAAGGCGACGTCATCCAGCCGCCGTTGCCACCAAGGCCCGGCGAATCCATCAGCCAGGAGAAGTTGTGATGCTTGGGCGGGCGCTCGCTGGCCCTGGACTCAGTGGCCTTGTCGAAATCCGTCACGGAGAAGTTCGAGATCCGCACGGACTCCGCGCACTCCTGAGGGGACCCGTGCAAGGGGGACAGCGGAGGACGAGGCAGGGGACGAGGAGGCGGAGGAGGAGGAGGACAAAGAGGAGTAAGGAGAAGATGAGGAGGAGGAGGAGGAAGTGGAGGAAGAGGGCGAAGGCGAGAAAGACGACCACGACCCGGAGGAGGAGGACAAGGATGAGCACGGAGAAGAGGACGATGTCGACGACGACGTCGACGACGACAACGGCGAGCAAGATGAAGAGGAGGAGATAGGGGTCCTCGCTGACGTCCTCCTCCTGCTCCTCGCCCTCCTCGCCCTCCTTCTCCTCCTCCGCCTCCTCCTTCTCCTCCTCCTCCTGATCCTCCTCTGTATCCTCCTCGCGCAATGACGACGTTGACGCTGTTTGGGGGGGATGACGTGCCCGGCCCGGGCTGGTCCTGCGTTTAGAGCAAGTGTCAAACGGAGGCGGATTCTGACCCCATTGAGGTGACGTCCAGCAAAGAGCGGAGTCATACCCCAATGAAATGACGTCTAACACAAGGGGGACTCAGACCACGAACGCGGATCACTTCCCCGACAACCGCCTGGGACTTGAAACATCCATCTTTCCTTCAATCCGACACCTCCGGCCAAAGCTATGCAGCCGCTTGAATGAGCATCAACCCGACCCTACCCTCCTTTACAGCCAAGTTTTGATCGAAAAGGCACCCTTCCCCGACTTCACCGGGTCGCAGGTCTGCCGCCGCCAGTTTACCAAGACAGGGCCGCGTTCTGGAGCATGTGTGGCGGCCTACATCCAGGACTTCCCAACCATTTTGGCTACCGTCAGATCCACGTGAACACGTGACGGAATTTAGTCAAGCTTCCCTCCTCTCTGCCTCGAGCTTAATGGAGGGCTCCACATGCAATCCTCCGTTGCCACATGGCCCCCGTGGGCATTCCGTCCAAGCCGCACTGTCAACCTGAAGGTAGGGCAGGATGAGTTGACTAAGCAAACGTTGTTACTGAGAAACCCCCAACGCACGCCCTCGCTTTGTCCAAGGATTTCCGTGACCTTGGCTGTCAACCACGATGGATGGATGCTCGTGTCCACCGTGCTACCAAACATGGTGACCCCAAGGCTGGGGCGCCACGGAGGTGTACCGCTTCAAGTCACCTAGGTCATAATCTGTTTCTTCTTCCGAAGTCTCCTCCTCATATGAGGGAAAATTTCAGTGGGGTGGGGCGCCTCAGGGGGGAACAATCGACCTGGAATCGGCGGTACATCATCGATAGATCGAAGATAGGCACTCGATAGCGCATCCGCAAGTTCCTGGGCTGGATGGGCCATCGGCACCCTATCAGCGATGAATGGGCGATTGCGGGCCGATAACTTACATTGCCCCCTGAGCCTGTCCCCCCTGACGCTGCCCCTGCTCCTCCTCCTGCTGCTACTCCTCCTCCATTTTGACGGGGATCGGGCCTCAATCGGCTTGCACTGCATCCTCCTCCTCAGCCTCCTCCACCTCCTCCTCCTGCCCGAAAACTCCTCCTCCTTCTCCTCCACCTTCTCCCCCTCATCCTCCCCCTCCTCTTCCTTCTCCTCTTCCTCCTCATCCTCCTCCTCCTCCTCTTTGACTGTGGTCGGACTCTAACCGGCTTGGAACGCCTCCTGAACTGAACTGAACTGAAAACTACCACAGAACGCGCGAAGCGTGCAGGGAATTCATGCACCCAATTAAAATAAGGAAACCGAGCGAGTTGTCAGAAGATTAGCGGCGACAAACGGAGCCAAACGCTCCCCACGAGTGCCCATCAAAGAACGGGTCGAGTGGGCAATGAAAGTTCGCCAGCCTGGGATCGAGAGCATCCTCGGCACCAATCGCAAGCGGAACGCCTCCTCCTCCTGCCCCAATCCTCACCAGGTGGGGCTCCTGCGGACCGTGCCCGTCGCAGGGGCCTTGCCCGTCGCTGCCCGCGCCGTCCATCCAGCCCGTGTGGCGGCCCGCCCAGTAGCTGACGACGGGCGTCATGCCGGCGGAGAGCGCCTCCATGATGTCCCGCGAGTCCTGGCAGGGGCCACCCAAAGATCCAACGTCTTGAAACATCGGTGCGGCTATCCGTTCGTCGTGTTCAGCCTCTGGGGGCCCTCGCCGGGCCCCGGGACCGTTCAAACGCTACTCGGGCTTAAAGTCTGGTCCCCGGGGAGGGGTCGAAACTTCGCGGGGGGCCGTATTGAAACAGCCAAGACATCGGATCTCTGGGCATGCGGCTACTAATCGACTAACTGTTCTAGGATGCGCTCTGGATAATGTTTGTCGCCAGCCTGGGTTTGCTGGACTGTACATTTGCAGGCCGCGTCCCCAAACAGCATGTACAGTTTAAATGATTTGGGAAGCATTGCTTTACACGTTTAGTGACTTGCGCGTGCTCCCCTGATTTGCAGCTTGGTGTTTTTTGATGCCTGTGCAGCACAGTGGCCGAGCGACACCACCACCACCACCACCACCAGGGCAGGGACCACCAGCGGAAGGAGCCAGGGGGGATCTCGCCTCTGGTGTGCATCCCCCTCTCTCTTGCTCGAGAGATCCCCTGTGCCGAGCTCGGGGGGGGGAGGGCATCGATGACCTCTCCCACCTTGCGGGATTGCCCCCCCCCCCCCCCTGGTGGTGGTGGTTCCTCCTCCTCCTCCTTCCTCCTCCTCCTCCTTCCTCCTCCTCCCCCTCCTCCTCCTCCCCCTCCTCCTCCTCCTCCTGCTCCTCCTCCTGCCGTCAGGCCGAGGCAATTTTCAAATGCCTCGCCACCGCGGATAAGCGGTGCAGCCTGGGCTCCGTGTGGCACCGCCTGAATGCGGTGTGGGTCCGATGATGTCACGCTCCTTATCCCGCCCGCTCGCGGGTGCGATAAGGAACGGGCGGAGGGCGGCACTTCCCTCTGGGAGGTTCGTGGTCGTTCGTTGTCGTCCTTCGTGTCTCGTTTCGTCGTCGTGTCCGTCGCCCCTTTCCTCTTTGGGAGTTGCGGCACGGCCCTGGAGTAAGTTCCGGGGTGGACGTTGTTTGCGCTCCTGGGCCGGAGAGTGGCCCCTCCCCCCTCCCCGCCCTGCTGCCGCCGCTGTCGCCGTTGCAGCTGTCAGGCCAGGGCTTTTAGTGCCCTGCCACCTCGGCCAAGAGATGCGGCCTGGGCGCGGGGAGACCCCAGTGGCACCTCCTGGTCTGAGGTGAACCGCCGTTGACGATCACGGAGGCGGGGCCCGCGGCTTCCCGCCTGTAACCTCTTGGTTGCAGTGCTCTCTGCCGCGGGCACACTGTTGCCGTGCTTGTGAGGGTGCGGGCGCTGGGGAACGCTCCGTGTATTGTCCCTTGGGCGCCGATCCCGAACCCCCATGCGCCATTTTGGCGCGGGGTGTATGGCGGTCCTTGGTTTGCTTTCTTTTTCTTGATTTCTTCCCTAAGGCACAGCGTTTCTGGCGCTATTGGGACATAGTCAAGGAAAAGAGGCCGGAGGTCAGGTCCCAGCTTGTGTCCGTGATTCCCTCTTTTTGCGCGTGTGCCCTTGGTTTTGGCCGTTGGCCACTTTGGCCGTTGGCCAGGGCACGTTGGCCCGCGCTTTGCTGAGCGCCACGGTTTTGTTCTGCCTTTTGGGCCTGCTCCTCCTCCTCCTGCTCCTCCTCCTCCTTCCTCCGAGGGGGGGGGGCGGGGCGTGGAGGTGGGATACCGCAGGTACTTACGATAAGACATCCAGGGGCACAACTTGGTCGTCGATCTGGACAACTCCCAGAGAGGCGTCCCAGGACTTCCGTGGGTCTGCGGCGGGGCCATCGGGGAACAAGACGCTTCCTCACGGGCACCTGCTGGCAGGCTCGTTTCTGAATCAGCGTGCCTACTGTGCAGTCGACCAGTATCATAAGGACGCACGATACGGATGCAAGGGCCTTAAAGACCGTGTCGACACTTCGCGGGCGGGGCGCGGCCAGCAGAAGCGGCCAAGGATGGATCGACGAGGTAAGGATGCAAGGGACGAAGGAACATGTGAGCACCTGGCTGGGCTCGATGCTTCGTTGAACGTCAGTCGACTTGAGCTGAGCTAGAGTTGAACTTGAGTGGAGCTAGCCGAGCTAGAGTTGAACTAGGGTCGAGCTATAATCAAACAAGAGTAAACAAGATCCGTTGGGTGGGCACCAGTAACGCCCAAAAATGGCGTCGAGGCCTCCCAAATGTGGTCCGAATTTATGGTGTCGGACGATCGTGCCACATCCACGCAGCATCGCCGATGCATTGGCGATGCGTCGGCGACGACGGCGATGTATTGACGACGTCGGCGCGAAGAAAGACTGGCTCCATCTCGAGCTGCATCGACGATGCATCTGCTTGCGACTCGATCCTCCGACACCATCTGCTCGGACCCATTTTGGAAGGCCTGCATAACTGGGGGGGGCATCTGGCAAGTTCCGGAAACCCCGAACCAAAACACTTGCCATCTCTTGGGAGGCCGATGTTTATGTCCGTGATTGTCCGCGACCCTCCGCCGCGTTCCGCCGCCCTCCCGCCGCCTTCCGCAGAGGGAGAGGCGCCAACGCCCTCGATTCTCGGGGGCGAGACGACCCTCTCTGAAACGCGCCAACGGGGGGGGGAGGGCGCGGGGTTCATCGGGCAGCAACTGGACTCGGCCAGGACGGACTTGGCCGGGCTGGACTCGGCCCGCCGAAGTCGGCCCCAGGCGGCACTCGGCTGGCTGCCCTCGGCCGGGCCGAACTCGGCCAGCCGGAGGTCGGCCTCGGCCGAGTCCGGCCTGGGCCGAGCTCGGCGCCCGGCCGAGCTCCGCCTGTCCGAGCCCTTGCCTCGTCGTCTTGGGGGGGGGGGTGCACCGTCAGCAGGGCGACGTGGGGGAGCGGTCGTGCGTCGCGGCCCTCCCCCCCCGCCCACCTGGTGCAGCCAACCCGTAGAATGAGGATGCACGGTGAGGACGCAAGGGCCTCGATCGGCCATGTCGACACTTTGCGAGCGGAGCGCGGCCAGCGAAAGCGGCCAAGGGTGGCCCGAAGGGGAAGGATGCAAGGGCACCCTTGGGAAGGTTTCCCATCCTTTCAATGCGGGTTGGCTGTACGGCCCGACCTAGGACAGAGGAGCATGCTTCAAGAACATGAGACACTCCGCCCGCCAAATTGAAGAGAACATTCGAGGGCTCCCCCTCAGGATATACAAGAACATCCAACAAGCACGAAGAACATGATGGTATCCTCCCCGAACCGACCTCGACCTGATACCTCGATCCCCCCGGTAGGCCTCCTGCCCGCGTCGGGACTGACCCGGGTCAATCCACCTCCAGGTCAGTCAGGCCTGGCAGGATCCTGCACGGTTCCGCAGGACCCTGCAGGATCCTGCACGCTGCGCAACCCGGGTCAGTGCCACTCTGGCTCTGCACGATCCCGCGCTCTGACTGACCCCAGTTTACCCCCCTCCCGCTTGCAGTCCCAGACATCCGACGTCTCGATTTTCTCGAGACGCGGGCCCCCGACCTCCCGACCACTTCCCCGGGACCGCTTTTTCATCCCGAGTCGTTGTTTGACGGTCCCGGGGCCGGCGAGGGCCCCCGAGGGACCGAGAACGACGAAAAACCTCCGTCTCGTTTTCTCCGAGCCGCTCGGCGTCTGGGCTGACCCCCGTCTCGAGGCCCCCGAGTCGGGGATCTTCTGACCCGGGTCAATCCAGACCCGGGTCAACAGGACACCAAAAAACTGCAATGCAGGGAACAAAAACTGCAACGCAGGTCTTCGAAAACCCGAGTCAGCCAATATGCGCGGCCGCCTCGCGGCCACGAGCGGCTCGCTAACCCAGGTCAGCCAGAGGGGGTCTTCGCAGGATCCTGCAGGATCTGGTGCACTGGCTGACTCTCGTTTGCATTGACCCCCGTCTCAAGGCCCCCGACCGAGGGCGCGCAGGACCGCCCCCGGGGCTCTCGCCGAACCTGCAAGTTCCGCGCCACGGGCTGAGGCGAGAAAGACCGCCCGTGGCCTCGGCCGGGCTGGTCGGACAAGGGGGGGGCACAACTAAACCGACAGAGACTTCAGGGGCTCCTCCTCCTCCTCCTGCTTCTCCTCCTCCTGCTTCTGCTCCTTCTCCTCCTGCTTCTCCGCCCTTCTCCACCCTTCCCTTCTCCACCCTTCTCCCTCCGTCCTCCCTCCTCCTCCCCCCCTCCTCCTTCTACTCCTCCTCCTCCTCCTCCTCCTCCTCCTCCTCCTCCTCCTCCTCCTCCTCCATCCTTCCTCCTCCTCCTCCCCTCCCCCTCCCCCCCCCCTCCTCCGCCTCCTCCGCCTCCCGCCTCCCTCCGCTCCTCCCCTCCCCCCCTCCTCTCTCCTCCTCCTCCTCCTCCTCCTCTCCTCCTCCTCCTCCTCCTCCTCCTACTCCTCCTCCTCCTCCTCCTCCTCCTCCCTCTCCCCTCCTCTCCTCCTCCTCCTCCTCCCCCTCCCCCTCCCCCTCCCCCTCCCCCTCCTCCGCCTCCTCCGCCTCCTCCCCCTCCCCCTCCTCCTCCCCCTCCTCGTCCTCCTCCGCCTCCTCCACCTTCCTCCTCCTCCTCCTCCTCCTCCTCCTCCTCCTCCTCCTCCTCCTCCTCCTCCTCCTCCTCCTCCTCCTCCTCCTCTTCCTCATCCTCCTCCCCCTCCCCCTCCTCCAAGTGAGATGGCATGGCGACCTTACGCGGTAGCTGGCGCGGGCCGCCAGCGCGGCACGCTACGCTGGAAGCGAGGGCGCTTACGCGCGACATGACGCGGGCAGCTTTCGCGCGAATGTCGGCGCAGACGGCCCCGTGTGTTCACATACCTCATGAAGACCAGCGTTTTCTTCGGTTCATGGAAATGTTTCCCTGCTGGCACCAGGAGACAACTTCTGGGAGGTCATCGTGGGAACGGTTGAGGGTCATTAGGCCTGATCAAGGGGCCACTAAGCCGCACGAGCCCAGATTGAGCAGAACGAGGAGGGATGACGCGGGATGACTCGGGAGCCTGACAGGTTGCACAGGCTTTCGACAGCGAGTATACCAGCGCCACCGTTGATGCTGAATTCAACCTCCCAAGAGTTACATCCTGAAGGTTGGCCGGTCCGCCAGGTACGGGTTGCTATCTCAACATACGAAGGAAGTTGACCTCGATGGTGAACTTCTCACAGTGATTAAAAAAAGAAGTTCGGCCTCCGTGCCCCGCGCCCCTGCCAAAACTCTGGTTGGCAGTGGATAATCAACTCTAGCTTGTAAAGGGGGGGTCCTTTTTTATCAGCAGCAGGGGGTTACGTAATCAACTCTAGCTTGTAAAGGGGGGGGGTCCTTTTTTATCAGCAGCAGGGGGTTAACCTGTCGAAGGCACAGTCGCTGGCTTCATCACGGGCGCACGGCAGAGAGAGGAGGAGGAGGAGGAGGAGGAGGAGGAGGAGGAGGAGGAGGAGGAGGACGACCGCGACGAGAGGGGGGGGGCAGCCAAGCTGGGCGCGCTCGCGCCACGCATCTCCGATCGGAGCCCTCCCTGCCAGCCATTTCCCTTCCCACTGTGGTGGTTCCTTTTCTGCCCGCCGATTTCTTCCAAGGGGCCCAAGGACACACAAATGAATACACAAAGATAAAGTGATTCCCCATATTTTCCTGCATTCTCTGGGTTCTTTTTCCTGGGGATCGACGATTAATTGTGTCTGTGTGTTTGTTCCCCTCCTGATTCTTGTAACATTGCTGACACGTCTTGGGTTTCTTCTGGTCGTCCTGGTCCACCCCCCTTCTCTCTCCGCTTTGGCCTCCGATTCCGCACCCTCCTGATCCTCTCCCTTTGCACCGCCCCTTTCCGGATCTCCTGGATACCTCTCATTCTCCTCCGCCCCCTCCGCATCTTCAACCTCCACATCCACCTCCTCGTCCCCCATCTCCTTCCCACTCCATCTCTTCCCCATTAATCCTTCTCTCCGCTTCCTCCGCTGCCTCCTCTTCCTCCTCCCCCGCATGCTCTTGGGCAGAAGCTCTTCCGCTGCTCGATGGTGTTGCTACCCACTGGCGTCCTTGTAGCCGGCGATCGAGATCGACAGCGGGCAAGACTGGCCGTCCTGTGCAGGTGGCAAAATCGAACCTGCTTCGTTCCTCGCCACTCCACTCCTATCCGTTCAATTCCTTCTCCTCGCATCCCTTTCGTTTCCCCCCTCCCACCTTCCCGTCTTCCCACCCACCCCTCTCTTCCCATCCCCAGTTCCTTTCACCTCCCCCCGATGGGCGGGAGGAACAGGGGAGGGGAAGGAGAGCAGGTCAGGAGAGGTGGGAGGAGCGGGATGGATGGATCGACGGAGCGCTGAAGGGGCGGATGGTTGCAGCTCGATGGCTATAGAGCGACGGACTGGCTACGTTGTACTAGCCCATGTCAGACTCACCCTGCGTGAGATTCACAGGTTGGCAAGGGCGATCACCGCAGCCTGGACGCGAGCGAAAGACAATCTTGGAATGCGATCCGAGCAGGGCAGAACCGACCGGTGCGAAGAGCAACGCCTGCGCGGCAGAGGGACGGCAACTGCCCCCGACGGCGAGCGTGAGGAGGACGGAGGAGACGGTAGGAGAAGGAGGGAAGCGAATGAGGGAGGAGGGGGGCTGAAGAGGAGGAGGGAGGAAGGAGCGAGAAGGGTGGAGAGGCAAGAGGAGGAGAAGGCGAAGGAGGAGGAGGACGAGGCGGACGGGGAAGAGGGGGAATGGGGAAGGGGAAGCAGGAGAAGGAGGAGGGACGAAGGAGGACTGCTCACTGGACTGCGCATGTGGGGCAGGGGCCCGCGGAGACGCGACAGCAACACCAGCAAGGGCCACCGGCCCGAAGGGCGGGCCAGCACCCCCATGGCGGAAACGCCCGCCTGCGCGTCCGGGGAGGGGGGAGGGCGAGGAGGGCGAGAAGGAGGGAGGAGGAAGGGAGGAGGGAGGAGGAGGAGGAGGGGGGAGGAGGAGGAGGGGGGAGGAGGGAGGAGGACGAGGAGGACGAGGGAGGAGGGGGGAGGCACGATGGAAAAGGAGGGAGGAGGGAGGAGGGAAGGGGGAGCAGGAGCAAGCGGGACGAGGTAGGAGTACGGAGGAGGAGGAGGAGGAGGAGGAACAGAAGAAGGCCGACGAAGATGAGGAGTAGCAGCAGGAGGCGGAGGATGAACGTCATCCAAAGAAAGGAGGAGAAGGAGGAGGAGGAGGAGGAGGAGAAGGAGAAGGAGGAGGCGGCCCACGAGGAGAAGGGAGGATGAGGAAGGGGGGGAGGCAGGGAAATAAAGGCGGCAGGGGAAGCGGAAGACGACGAGAACGAGAACAACGATGACGACAACGAGGACGGGGACGAGGACGACGTCGAGGTCGAGGCCGACGTCGAGGAGAACGACGAGGATCGACGACGCCGGGACACGGCCCAGCTCCTGGGAGAGCGCCACATGCATTGCGGCCAGGAGCCCGCCGTCACCCACGGGGAACGAGGCGGCGACCCCAAAGGGCCTGCGGCGAGGCGGAGGCGCCCACCCCCCCTTCGGCCTCGTCCCCGTCCTCGCCCGCGCCGCCCTCCCTTTCCACGTTTGCAGCTGCTGTGGTGGCGGCCCCGCTGGGGGAACCATCACATGTGCCTCCTCCTCCTCCTCCTCCTCCTCCTCCTCCTCTTTCTCCTCCTCCTCCTCCTCCTCCTCTCCTCCCTCCTCCTTTTCTTCCTCTACTCCTCCTTCTTCTCCTCCGCCGCTCCTCCTCCCTCTCCTCCTTCCTCCTCCTCCTGATCCTCCTGCTCCTCCTCCTCCTCCTCTCCTCCTCCTCCTCTCCTCCTCCTCCTATTGTCCTCGTCTCCTCTTTCTCCTCTCTCGTTTTCCTCCTTGTCCTCCTCCTCCTCCTCCTCCTCCTATTTGTCCTCGTCCTCCTCTTCCTCCTATTCGTTGTCCTCCTTGTCCTCCTCCTCCTCCTCCTCCTCCTCCTCTTCCTCCTCCTCCTTCTCAACAACCCGACTGCCGCGGCTTGCGTTTTTTCCCAATCATCTCGGCTGGCCTGGCCCGCCGGCCGTGTGTGCGGGGCGCCGCGGGGTCCTTGGGCGGCCAATTCGTCGCCCAGGGCATCGCGTGCGACAATGTTGTGGCCTGAGTTTGCTCTGTGCACGCCGCGAACGCCGAGGTGTTCAAACAAATCCTCCTCGTCTTCTTCTTCTTCTTCCTCCTCCTCCTCCTCCTCCTCCTCCCCCTCCTCCTTCTCCTCTTCCTCCTCTTCCTCCTCCTCTTCCTCCTCCTCTTCCTCCTCCTCATTCTCTTCCTCCTCGTCCTCCTCATCCTCCTCCTCCTCCACCCCCTCCTCGTCCTCCAGCCCCTCTCCTCCTCCTGCTCCTCTCTCCTCCCTCCTGCTCCTCCTCCTCCTCCTCCCCCTCCTCCTCTCCCTCCTTACTCCTCCTCTCCTCCTCCTCCTCTCCTCCTCTCCCACCCCCCCTCCTCCATCCTCCTCCTCTTCCTCCTTCTGCTTCTTCCCCTCCTCCTCCTCCTCCTCCTCCTCCTCTTCTCCTCCTCCTCCTCCTCGTCCTCCTCGTCCTCCTTGTCCTCCTCGTCCTCCTCGTCCTCCTCCTCGTCCTCCGCCTCCTCTTCTTCTACTTCGGATCATAAGTTTTAGTCTTCTTATTCGTCTTAATATTAGTAGTACTGTTAGTAGTGTTGTTAATAATATTCGTAACATTATACGTAGTATTAGTGACAGTGTATCAGTATTATCATTATCAGTAGTATTGATACTCTTTGTTTTTATTATCCCCCACATCCTGAGTGGGGTTCTTGTTTTCCCATAACATCCTCTCCTTCTCCCTCCCGCCTCCCGCCTCCCATATCAATACCATATCATACAATGCCGACCAGTCCATATCATACCATACATACCATACCATACCATACCCTCCAGGGAGGCCCCGCCTGAGCGAGGAGGGTGTCGGGCACCCAAAACTATTTACATGGTGGCGTGCCCTTCCCACCTCTCCAGGGAGGCCCCGCCTGAGCGAGGAGGGTATCGGAAACCCATACTATGTACATGGTTGCGTGCCCCTCGCACCCCTCCCGGGAGGCCCCTTTTGAGCGAGGAGGGTATCGGAAACCCATACTACTTACATGGTGTCGTGCCCCTCCCTCCCCTCCAAAGAGGCCCCGCCTGAGCGAGGAGGGTGTCGGAAACCCATACTATTTGCATGGTTTCGTGTCCAGTCCACCCCTCCACAAAGGTCCCGCCCGAGCGAGGAGGGTATCGGAAACCAATACTATTTACATGGATTCGTGCTCCTCCCACCCCTCCAGGGAGGCCCCGCCTGAGCGAGGAGGGTGTCGGGTACCCATACTATTTACATGGTGGCGTGCCCTTCCCACCTCTCCAGGGAGGCCCCGCCTGAGCGAGGAGGGTATCGGAAACCTATACTATGTACATGGTTGCGTGCCCCTCGCACCCCTCCCGGGAGGCCCCTTTTGAGCGAGGAGGGTATCGGAAACCCATACTACTTACATGGTTTCGTGCCCCTCCCTCCCCTCCAGGGAGGCCCCGCCTGAGCGAGGAGGGTATCGGAAACCCATATTACTTGGATGGTTTCGTGCCCCTTCCACCCCTCCAGAGAGGGCCCGTCTGAGCGAGGAGGGTATCGGAAACCCATACTACTTACATGGCTTCGTGCCCTTCCCTCCCCTCCAAGGAGGCCCCGCCTGAGCGAGGAGTGCATCGGAAACCCATACTATTTGCATTGGTTTCGTGCCCCTTCCACCCCTCCAAAGAGGCCCCGCCTGAGCGAGGAGGGCATCGGAAACCAATCCGGTTTACATGGTATCGTGCTCCTCCCACCCCCCCAGGCAGGCCCCGCCTGAGCGAGGAGGGTATCGGAAACCCGTACTATCTACATGGCTTCGTGCCCCTCCCTCCCCTCCAGGGAGGCCCCGCCTGAGCGAGGAGGGTATCGGACACCCATACTATTTACATTGTTTCGTGCCCTTCCCACCTCTCCAGGGAGGCCCCGCCTGAGCGAGGAGGGTATCGGAAACCCATTCTATTTACATGGTTTCGTGCCCCTCCCACCCCTCCAGGGAGGCCCCGCCAGAGCGAGGAGGGTATCGGCAACCCATGCTATTTACATGGTTTCGTGCCCCTCCCCCTTCCAGCGGGGCCCCGCCAGAGCGAGGAGGGTGTCAAGAAACCGTGCTATTTACAAGGCTTCGTTTCCTGAGCACCTGTCCTCCCTCCTCCATTCTTTCGTCTGCCCTTTCGTGCGTACTTACTCGTTCGATGAGCTTCTCCTTCGTGTTGATGTTGTCGTACCCCATGGTTCCCATGATACCGTTTATATCTCTATGTGGGAAACCCCGTTAGCATAATTCTTATGTTTCCTGATTATTATTAGTATTATCATTCTCAGTGGTAGTATGATCATTATTAGTAGCATTAGTAATATTCGTATCAGTTATTGTGTTTATTCCCAGTAGTCGCAGTAGTAGTCGTAGTAGTAGTAGTAGTAGTAGTAGTAGTAGTAGTAGTAGTAGTAGTAGTAGTAGTAGTAGTTGTAGTAGTAGTAGTAGTAGTAGTAGTAGTAGTAGTAGTAGTAGTAGTAGTAGTAGTAGTAGTAGTAGTAGTAGTAGTAGTAGTAGTAGTAGTAGTAGTAGTAGTAGTAGTAGTAGTAGTAGTAGTAGTAGTAGTAGTAGTAGTAGTGGTAGTGGTAGTGGTAGTGGTAGTGGTAGTGGTAGTAGTAATAGTAGTGGTACTCGTAGTAGTAGTAGTAGTAGTAGTAGTAGTAGTAGTAGTAGTAGTAGTAGTAGTAGTAGTAGTAGTAGTATAGTA